ATAATAGGGTATAGACGGGATGACAAGTAAAAACTTAAACTTAAATTAGAGCGGGCAATAGGTCGATCGGGGTTGGGTTCGAGTTCAACCAATTTATTAATTGGGTTGAATATTTCAACCCAACCCAACATTTTTATTTAAATGGGTGGATATTTTCAACCCAACTCAACCTTTCAGATAAATGGGTTGTTACCGGGTTGACCCGTTTACGTAATTTCCAACCCAACCTATTAAATAAATGGGTTAAACATGGGTTAACCCACTTAAAATAAAAAAGTAATAAAATAACTAAAGATTACAACAATTAAATTAGTTTCAAACTTAAATAAACTTTCAAAGTATAATAAAAATACAATCATAATTCACAAATACAAAGAAATTGTTCATATAACATTGAAGATATGTAATTTCGAAGTGATTTTGAAGAATGATTAGTGTTGTCGGCGCAAAGAAAAAAAGATAAGAATTAGGATTACATTTAAAGAAAATAAATAACAATACAACATTGTAAATATAAATTAATATTTATATTAGTACATGGTAATATTTAAATAAATAATAAATTAAATATATATTAAAGTTAAATGGCTTGGTGGGTTGAAAAGTAGTTGATAACTTTTATCCAACCTAACCTATTTAATTAAATAGGTTAGACGGATTGACCCAATTTAACCTCAATGAGTTGAAAATCTAAACCCAACTGTTACTTTTGGGTTGGATTGGTGGGTTGAATTGATTTTTGTCAGCTCTATCTCTAATCCTCATTTTAAAATAATATAAAATATATTTTAAAGAAAATAAAAGAGTTTAAGTCTTGAAATCTCAACATGTAATTGCATTTTTGATATAATAAAAAATATAATTAATATTTTGTTTTCATATTCGGTCATACATTATAAAAAATATTATTTGTGTTACGTAATTGGCAATAATGAAAGATGAATTTTAGTATTCACAATAAACCGATAAGTTGCAAACCAAACAACTGCTTCTTCAAATCCGGTAAGATAAACCGATAAGTTGCAAACCAAGCAACCGCTTCTTCAAATCCGGTAAGACAAATGTAATGGTTTTGTAATTTTTTTATGTCGGAAAGTTAGTTTATATTTTATTTTAATAAAATGTATATGAAACATTTGTCTTAATAGTCAATAATTTTTCTATATATCATTTTATATACTTTTATATTGTTAGTTAGCTTATAATTAGATTCTAATGAACGTTATCTTTTATTAAATAACTGCTACATCAATTTTGTCAAACAAATATACAACCAATTATATTTATATAAATGAAACACAAAATACGATCTGAGAGACTTAACGTTATAAATATTTGTAAAAACTAAACTAAACATTCTAGAGATAATTAACCGTTCATATCTTGAGTAGGGATTGCCTGATATGTAAACGTTATTAGTTAATTTAATAGAAAAACTAGAAAGTAAAAGCTCATTGGTCGACACACATAATCATGGTCAAAGTCTTGTACTTCAAAGATTGAATTCCCAAAAGATACCTCGTACCAGAAAGGCCTATCAAGCCTACACGCCTCTTTCTTCAATTCCCGAAAAGGCCAAGGGATACCATCGTCATCTTCAACATCCCGTGGGTTTATCACATTTTTAATTGTTTTCCCTATTTGAGCATTATCAAGACTGTTTTAAACATTTCTATGTCAAAAGTATACACATTTGTCATTGTTATAGTTACATTATTAATATAAATTTCATATCAATTTAGGGATACGATATCATATAATTTTCATTTTTAGTAAATACAATATTTAAAGCAACGTTAATATTATACTTGCTAAAATTTGCAATCATTTTATAAATAGTCAAACAAAATTTTAAAATTTGAAAGCTTAAGCTTAGTTCATGAATGATTGTTTGCCAAAGCTTGACTCGTTAAATGAGTAAGCCAAAAAACTGACATATTTTATTATATAATCGTTTTTGGATTTGTAATAAGAAATAGAAAATAATGATTAATCGGGTTGGTTGGCATCATAACATTGGATAGACTTTTAACAACTTGTAGCATGTTTATTTTCTAGCTCTTTGCTAAAGCTTTAATTATTTTGTTGTTTGAAAAAAAAACCTAGAAAGCTCGTTTGCATATTGTAAGTTCATGAGAAGCTCATTTATTTTATCTCAAAGAAAAAAAAGTATAAATGCAATTAAAAATATAACTAAACAAAGAGTGCAAAATGATTTGAAAAAAAACTATAAAGTACCAAAGTCTTAGGTTGTGATGAGTGATGTTGAACTTACCGAGTTCCACCTCAGCCAAAAGCGTCTCCTCTTTAGCTTCAACAAGGATGATGATAGTGTCGTGCCACTCACTCTTACCATAGCAAGGGGAGTGGGTGCCGAGTAGGGAAGAAAAGAAGGAGAAGAGAGTTTGGCATGAGAAGAGAAAAACGCTGCAAGCTACTGTTGAGTTGAGGTCTTGAGCTCGACATGTGAGTTGGAGGTGCAGTGTTTGTCAAGTTGACTCAGCACATGTTGAGCCCATTCCCCACAACCTTAAGAAGAAAAGAAAGAAAAGGAAAAAAAAACCATACATTAGAAATCTGGAGTTCTTATATATATGAAGAGAAGTGATCACAACTTAACATTACTCATCTTTTGTAGCATCACAAATAGATATTATTTGCCTCTTAGTGAATATCAAACTTATAACAAAAAAGCATGTGAAATATACCAAAAATATTGCTATCTTATAATGATTATCAAAGAACAAATTTGTAAACTTACATTAAATTTCTATTCTAAAATTATTATATTCGTTTTAGAAAATGTTCAAATAAAAATTTGTTGTACTCCACTCAACCACGTCTCAAAATGTATATAATTTTGTTTTTTGACTACCGTTAAAATGTCTAAATAAAACTATTTTTATTCATTAATGAGTCAATTTAAGTTGTTTTTACTTTTAACTAGGGGTGACAAATATGTACCATGGAAAACCAACCAACATGTGTACCAACCGAACCAATTATGTTGGTAGCCAATATGTTTGACTGGTAGTACCGTACCAATTAATTAATAATGGTACGGTAATGGTACAAAGTTTTAAATGCCACGATATTACCGTACCAACCAAGTTATTTTTCATATATATAAAGTATTGTATATTTTAACTTTAAATGTATGTGACAGTTAAGAGTTCAAGTGCTTTGATATTAGCATTTACCGTCTAGTAGCTTTTAAAGTTTAAACTCATATTAACATATCCCATTTACTCTATTGTTTGGTTTAAACTCATGGTACAAAATTATAAAATCTTTTTTGTATCGAATTTCCAATCCAACCATTAAGAAAACTCTTATTTACAAACCTACATGTATCTTTTAAGTGCACAATAACACATAAATCTTAATTCCTAAAACACCCATACATGTTGGTATATACCATTACCAACATGTACCAACCGAACTTCCTGGTAGCCAATTGAGTTGGTAACAACTGTACTTGGTACGGTAGTGGTAACTAAAATTACATACCAATTATAATTGGTACGGTACACGGTTTGGGAAAAAAATACCCGGTACCGTACCAATTCCACCCCTACTTTTAACGCATCAAATATGCAGGATTTAAAAGTATAACTAACCAAAACACTTGTTAAATAGATGAAACAAGTTAAATTAGGAGGAAAGTTGTACGCAATGTACTTTACGATACATACAACATATTTAATAATATTATTATTCATTTATTCTGACACATAATAACCATCAAAAAAAGTAATTATTTTTTTTAATAATGTAAAATTTTAATAACTTTTATTATTTCCATTTGTGTTTATGAATATAAATTGTAATGAAAAGATAGCCGTTAGAGGGAGCGGTCGTCGGTGGGAGATGTTAATTAAAAAAATAAAATAAATAGAGAAAATGGAAAACTAGCCGTTAGACTTTGGAGCACGTGAGAGAGGGAGCCTCACTGAATCTTGAGGGACACTTCTGACATAAACTTTGTCTCACCACATTCTTTTCCTTTTCCAAAAAGCCAAATCATTTTCATTGCAATAACGAATAATAAATAATAAATAATAATATACAAGTTCGATGATAGTTACTATCGAATTGTTTTAGTAGATATTGTGCAACTTTTAATTAGAACATACACATGGACACATTTTCGAAATTAACAAACAAAATAATATCATAGAGTAACTTTTTAGTTAACTATATTGGGGGTATTTAGAAGAATGATCATAATGATCTAATTTCTATCCAAAATAACCTTCAAATTGGAAGCGGGTAATTTGGTTTTGAAATGTGTTTTTTCTATTTAAGAAACTGATTTGTGAGATATTATATCTTATGTAGATAAATTAATTTTTCATTATTACCACCTTTTGGATGTGGATAATACATAATGTGAATGTTTTTCTTATATGCACAACTTTTTGTTTTCATAAATTCTTATTAAACATTGAATCTGAAATATTTGGTTTTTGTTTTCATTTCACAACTTTTTGTATCGTTTCATTTTCACTTCGTTAATTATTTTTTTGTTAGATTTCTAATAAAAATATAACATAATCTTTAATTCGACTTACTATTTTGACTTCAAATATGTTCTTAAATTTTTGGAATACATTTCAATTTTTGCCTGGAATATGAACTTTGAAATTAAACAATTTTGAACATGATCGACGTTTTTTCAATAGCTTAGAGGTAAGTTATAGAGAAATAAATTCATATTTTTCATGGTTATTGTCATTATAATTAGTGGCAAAATGTTAATGAATATTGATTAGAAAATGTAATAAGAAATGAGAGATATACAATAATATAAAAATTCATAAAATTAAAAAAAAAAATGTATAAATTGATAATAAAAAATGGCTAAATTAACTTCTTTTTTAACCAAATTGTTAACATTTTTTTTGGGTGAGTGCGTGAGGATCACGTGCATTGTCTGGAAACACCGTCTCTCTATCACTACAAAACCTTCTTCCAAGACTATTTCATCTCACTGTTTGATTTCATCTTCATTTCTTCTTTCTTTCTTCCTCCTCTTTCATGGAGTCCGATTCTCATACGACTCCTAACTTCTCAACGAAATCAACCCCCTTTGATCAATCAAACATTCCCTTCAAGAAAAAAGAAAAATGGAAGAAGAATACAAACAACACACACTGTTTCCCCTTACTTCTTCTCCTACTAATTTCCATTCTCATTCACCCACTCCCAGTTTCAAGCCAATCATGGGATGGAATCATCGTCACAGAATCAGATTTTCAAGCCCTCCAATCATTCAAACAAGAACTCATTGACCCAAATGGGTTCTTGAAAAGCTGGAACGATAGCGGATATGGAGCTTGTTCTGGAAGTTGGCAAGGAATCAAATGTGCTCAAGGTCAAGTTATTGTGATTCAACTTCCATGGCGAGGATTAGGTGGTCGAATCACACCGAAAATTGGTCAGTTTCAAGCTCTCAGAAAGCTCAGCCTCCATGATAACGCCATTGAAGGTTCGATTCCGAAGGAATTAGGGTTCCTTCCGAATCTCAGGGGACTTCAGTTGTTTAACAACAGGTTTACTGGTTCGATTCCTCCCGCATTGGGTTCATGTCCATTGCTTCAAACTATTGATTTGAGTAATAATTCTTTGGTGGGTGTAATCCCAGAAAGTCTTGCTAATTGTTCTAAGCTTTATAGGGTCAATTTGACTTTGAATTCTTTAACCGGTTCAATCCCTGTCCCGATTACAAAACTAAATTCCCTCATGTTTCTTGCTCTACAGTTCAATAATTTTTCTGGGGTTCTTCCAGATTCTTGGGGGAACGACAAAAATGGCGTCAAATCCATGGTCAAATCTTTAACCTTTGACCATAATTTCTTCTCTGGGACCCTACCTGTTTCTTTAAGTAAGTTGACTGAGCTTCAAGAGATTTCATTTAGTCATAATAAATTCATCGGAACTGTTCCCGCTGAATTTGGTGAATTTTCTAACCTTAAAAGTATCGATTTTTCATATAATTCTATTAATGGAAGCATCCCTCAAAGCTTTTCAAATCTGAGTTCCTTAAATTCGCTGAATTTCGCTCATAACAATCTCACCGGAGAAATCCCGACATTTTTGGGTGATCGATTAAATCTTACTTCATTCAATGTCTCATACAACAATCTATCGGGTTCAGTTCCAACAACACTTTCTTCAAAATTCGATTCAAGCGCCTTCATTGGCAATCTTGATCTGTGTGGATACAGCCCTTCAACGCCATGTCCGACGTCTCCTCCTCCTTCCACCACCCCACCTCCGCCACCAAACCACGGCGGCAACAAACTAAGCACGAAAGAAATCATTCTCATCGCAGCCGGTGCTTTGATTGCAGTTCTACTGTTAATCTGCTGCATACTCCTGTGTTGTCTGTTCAGGAAAAGGGGAGGAGGAGCTAAGCCGAAGGACGCTGAAGGTGGTGCCGCAGGTGGAAAAGAGGTGGCGCCACCACAGGCGGAGGTGGCCGGAGAAGCGGGAGGGAAGCTTGTGCACTTTGAAGGTACATTGGGTTTCACGGCTGATGATTTATTGTGTGCGACAGCTGAGATTATGGGGAAGAGCACTTATGGAACTGTTTATAAGGCAACTTTGGAAGATGGTGATCAAGTTGCAGTGAAAAGATTGAGAGAAAAGATTACGAAAAATCAAAGAGAGTTTGAAATTGAAGTTAATTTGCTTGGGAAAATTAGGCATCCAAATTTATTGGCAATGAGAGCTTATTATTTAGGGCCAAAAGGGGAGAAACTTCTTGTTTTTGATTACATGCCCAATGGAAGCCTTTCTACTTTTCTTCATGGTATGTTTTTTAACCCTTTCACTTTTTTTATACATTTTTTTTATGAAATTTTGTAATGGATTTTAATTTAACTAGTTCAAATTTTATCCTTAAATAAAAAGGTGCTTACTTTTTTGACCTTTAAAATGGATTTTACTTTGACTAGTTGAAATTGTATCCTTAAATAACAATTAAAAGGTGCTTACTACTTTGACTTTAAGTAGAGGAAATTAGTTACTACTTTGACTTTAAGTAGTGGAAATTAGTTATTTAATAGCAACAAAGTTTCATATTTTTTAAAAGGTTTACTTTTAATGGAAGCATCTAACTTTTTTTTGTACCATATTTATGAAATTTTCTAATGGATTTTACTTTTCATGGTTGAAATTTTGACATTAAATAACAATCAACTTTCAATATCTACGAGATGTTTAGTAGTAGACTTTTAGTTTTGATCCATTTTTAGTTTTTTAATCATTTTTATAAAGTTTATAATGGATATTACTTTTATAGGTTGTCACTATCTCACTAAATAACAACTAAGTTTCACATTTTTTATGAGGTTCACTACTTGACTTTTATTTTTGTTTGATTCTTATGAAACTTTTACTTACATCACTCAACATGGTTACTTTTTTTTTTTTTGAATTTTTGAACCGGCAAATACAAATATTATAATCTACTCTTAAACTAACACCCAATTCCACCTATGTCCGCCACGGGACTTGAACCCTCAACCTCAAGGAGGAAGGGAACCACGTCATACCGCTGGGCTAGAAGCCCTTTGTCAACATGGTTACTATTTGATAAAGTTGTTACAAATATGTTATTTATCCACTTAGCAATGTGACAAAACTTAACTTCTATTTAATAACATTTTCCATTTGGTATTTGCAAAACCCCACAAAACCCTAATTTCTCAATTCATATGCAGCTCGAGGCCCAGAAACACCCATAGATTGGACAACAAGAATGCGAATAGCAAAAGGAATGTCTAGAGGTTTACTTAGCCTCCACACCCACCACAACATAATCCATGGAAACCTAACTTCAAGCAATGTCCTCCTCGACCAAAACATAAACCCTAAAATTGCAGACTTCGGTCTCTCCCGGCTCATGACGGCTGCAGCCAACTCAAACGTAATTGCAACCGCTGGTGCACTCGGGTACAGAGCCCCCGAGCTTTCAAAGCTCAAGAAAGCTAACACAAAGACCGATGTTTATAGTTTGGGTGTGATCATGTTAGAACTCCTAACTGGAAAATCACCAGGAGAAGCCATGAATGGGGTTGATTTGCCTCAATGGGTGGCTTCGATTGTGAAGGAAGAATGGACTAATGAGGTGTTTGATCTTGAATTGATGAAGGATGCGAGTGTGATTGGTGATGAGTTGTTGAATACTTTGAAACTGGCGTTGCATTGTGTTGATCCTTCACCTTCGGCTCGGCCGGAGGTGCAGCTGGTGTTGCAGCAGCTGGAGGAGATTAGACCGGAAACCGCCGCCACGAGTTCTGGTGATGATGGTGGTGCTGGACCTTCGATGAGTGAGTGAAGTGAGGGGTAGTTTTGGACTTTTGGTGATGATGATGATGATTCTTTCATTCTTGAAGGTCGATCTTTTTTTTTTTTTTTTGTAAATATAAGTTTGAAGTTAATTTCTAGTTTTGTTTTGTGTGGAATTCTTGATTCATTTTGTTCAATGAAGTGGAAATTTTGGGGATAGTTGATTTACGAATATATTGTTTTAAATTACTAAATAATTGTGACAGGTAAAAATAGGGTTAATTACAAATGGACGTTGAATATTTGTGTTTTTACAAAATATTTTGGGGCTAACTTGCCCTTCCAAAGAGTAAATCGTGGTCAAATCCTCCCAAGTTTTGCTTCCGTTGTAGGAAGTTATTAGCACTTCCAGTAATTTTTTAGGGTCTTGAGTCAAAATAAGTCATTATAATCACATTGTAAATACTTAAAGTCAATTGTATAGTTAAATAGTTAGATTAGCTCCTACGATTTCTCTTGTAAATGTGAATCCCTTCAAGTATGTAATCTGCATATAAAACGCATATACTTTATTGAATATAATTAAACAATTCATTCCAACTCTATATGGTGGTATCAGAGATCAACTAGCTCCTTTGAGCCTCGATCGATCAAAACCCTAATCATGCATTCTTCATCACCATGTCTTCCGTCATTGAAGTCACGACACACACCCACTTCCCCATCAAACTTACAGCAACAAATTTTTCCAGTTTGGAGAAAACAAGTCATGGCTACTTTGATAGGTTTAGGTCTCGACAACTATGTTGATGGATCTGAAGAAGCTCCATCAAAGGTCTTTATCCACTGATGCCACTAAGCCCAATCCTGCATATCGACCATGGTACCGTCAAGATCAAATCCTACTAGGAGCCTTGCTTGGAATGTAACGCTTGGAAATGAAGATGTTCCTAGTTGCCCTTCGTGATTTGAAAATTTGCAAATTGACCCTTGTTGTAACATCCCAACCGTCATGTATTATTAATTTTTCCTTTTAGACTTCATGTTTAAGGTCTACTCGACGAGTTGGCGCTATGACTCGTCGAGTAGCAGCGGGCCAGGACACGTCAATTAATGGGTGACGCGTCGAGTCGGCATGGGGGACTCGACGAGTAGGAGCTGGCAGTGGAAACCCTAATTTTCAGGGTTTTGCACCCTATATATTGGACCATTAGCGCCTCCCACTGTCCTCTATCACCCTCTTGAGACCCAGAAACCCTAATTGCCGTGAGTGAGAGCTTGGAGAGTGTTTTGGAGCTTTGGGGAGTGACTTTTGTGAAGGAAATTTGTAGATCAAGAGGCTAGCATCAAGATTTCCATGTGGATCCAGAGTTTACTTCAGTTTGGGCACGTTTTGGAGGTAAGCAACTGTTACCTTAACCTCTTTTTCTTCTAAGAATCATTCATATATGAAAACTAGGGCTTTCTTTAGTTATTCGTGAAGGGATTTTGGTATGGGAGCTAGATCTGAAGTTGAAACTTCAGATCTGAACCTCTTTTTGAGTCCTAAGTCCATAAAGTTTCCAGCTCTTGCAAGGATGAGACTCTCCCAAGGTGTAAAGCTCCATTAGAAGCTTAGATTGGTCATTTAGAGCCTTTAGGGCCTTGCATGTGTGTAAAGTTTGCAACTTTACGTGATAAACATGCCTTAGAAGCTTGGATCTGTAATCTGGAACCTTGGCATGGCTTAAAAAGTGTCTGCATGGATGAAGGTCTGCAAGGACTCGGCGAGTTGCATAGTCAACTCGGTGAGTCATATGAAGATGGTCGTGAACTTGTCGAGTTGATGAACAAACTCGGCGAGTCCGTTGAAGATTGCCTTGAACTCGGCAAGTCGTTCGAAGACTCGGCGAGTCGGCTGGGGTTTCTCCCAATTCTTGGACATGTATGAACTCGGCAAGCTAAAGGGGAACTCGACGAGCTAATCAAGGATTTCACGACTTCTCGAGTTCAGGAAGGACTCGACGAGTCGATGGTCTGCACTCGACGAGTCGAGTCAACGTGGACTGTTGACTATGATTGGAGACTTTGACTTTGACCAAGAGTTGACCAGTTGACTTCTGAGAGTATTCTGGTAATTTGGAGATTTACGAAAAAGGGTTTTATGGTAACGATAGGTGGTGGAGTTCGTGTTGGTGATCCGGGAGTTGAGCTTCTAGTTTCAGACGACAGTTGAGAGGTGAGTTTTCCTCACTATACTCAAGGGTCTAAGGCACCAAGGCGGTCCTTTGGATTATTATATGGTTATGTTATGCTAGTATAATCTGTTAGATCGGTATCCTAGAGGGTAGGATAATATTATATGATATGTGGTATGATCTGTTAGATTGGCATCCTGGTAGATAGGGTGGTGTTATGTGCTATGTGGTAAGATCCGTTAGATCAAGTATTGTCTATAGACTGTTATGTGATTATCTATTATATGTGCACATGTTTGTTTGGCGGTTGAGGCTTATCTGCTTGGTGCGAAGGCCAATAGACCTGGGCATTCCAACCTGTAGGTTGTGGGCCATGAGTATTCCATCCCGAGGATGATTGGACTCAGAGTATGTGGGCATTCCAACCTGTTGGTTGTGGGCCTGGGGTATTCCAACCTGATGGTTGATTGGACCCATAGTGTGTTGGCAATCCAACCTGTTGGTTGTGGGCCAGGGGTATTCCAACCCGATGGTTGATTGGACCCATAGTATGCTGTTATGATTCTATGTGTATTGTTGCAGGTATGAGTATTTTGGGGGAACTCACTAAGCTCTCAGGCTTACAGTTTCAGATACATCAGGGGATCGCGGCAAGGCGAAAGCGTGATCGTACAGCTCCTCATGTTTTGTCTATGTTTCTGGGAAAACTCTGATATTATACATTTTGAAAACAAAGTTGTAATGATTTTTAATGGTTTGAAATGTTTTAAAAGTTTAAATTGGTTGAAATTTTTTGGGTGTTACACTTGTGAGTAGTACGCGGGGCGTACAACAGGGTACGCTTAGTGTACTAGCTGAGAAGATAATATGCGGGGCGTACCTCATGTGTATGCTTAGCGTACTAATGGTAGATGGTCACGGGTCCGAAGCCTCGTGTCACACCCCCAAACCAGAACGGCGGAAACGTTCGGGGGCGGAGGACGTCATGCTCAATATCATAACCATAGTGAAGAAAGTAAACACAACCATCATAAATATAATTTAAAAGGTTACATCGTTACAAAAGTAGATGTTTCCAAATAAATTACATATGATGTCAAAATATAGCAAAAGAATCTACGCCTTAGCGTCTTGACTTCAGAAATCTTGTGGTTACCTGTATTACTGATTACGTGAGAATACAAGTTGTTTTTGAAAGAGTATCAGCATATAGTTGGTGAGTTCATAAGCAAATTTATGAATGAAAAATGAATGATGTTCCTTTTTGGTTTGTTACAAGTTTGTTTCCAGAAAATCCAATATTTTCAAAAGGGTTGTTATAGTCTTAACTTGACCAAGATTTAGTGTATGTAAGTAAATCGTCATACTCGTGTGTATATGGTTTTATATTTAAATAAAACTCCTTAAATCCCCGTGAACTGTGTGTTTTGTTAATTTCCCATGTGAGATGTTATAACCATACTAAACTCGAAGACCTCGTACTCGACGTTCTTCAGGCGTCGGAATGTTATGACACTTGTCACCCCAGACCTGGCGGTCTAGCTGTTGCAAGCAGCTTAGGTGCGGGTTTGTCAGACCTAATATAGATCTATACACAACTATCACGCTCTCCCTCCCGGAGATTCTGATTATAACTACAAGACTTTACTGTGGTACTTAAGAGTACCCCGAAGGAGAATGTCTCACAAATTTATTTATTAACAAGTTCACGTAGTGTGTAATGAAATAGTTGTTTTGTAAGTCGATTGAGTTATTGTTTTCTTTGTCAAACGAAGTGCTCAAACTATACCTATTATAGTTTATCAAAAGTGTTGTGTGTTTGAATGAAACCTTGTTATGCATGTCTTTGTATTTCCATAAAATGACATTTAAAATACTAAGTGTAAATCGTACACACCTTGCTCAGCATGTTACAAGGTGTGAATAACTCTTAAACATGTATTTGACAGTTTTACCCTTAACTGTCACTGTTTTAGAATATTTATAGAAAAATCATCGTAAGTCGAAAACTGAATCCGTAAACTCTGAGTATTTGGAAAAAGAGTCTAATGTATCCATAAATGTTCCTATAATTTTTGGTGGTCTCAAACCAGGGTGAAAATGTTCATCTTCACAACCTGGTCCGACTTTGATGCTGTGGTGATAGGCAGTTTTGTAAAAATCACCATAAATTGTAGAAAAATCGTATGGAGATGTGCAAGTAGTCATTTTGAAGGTATAAACCTGAACTACATTCATATTAAACAGTGTTGAAAAATATTAAGTTTAAGTTGGGTATAACAGTTCGTGAACAGGTCACAACTTTTCTATTGTAAGTTGTCAAGTTAAGTTTCAAATATGTTTTGGTGTTTTAACTTGTATTCCCCCCCTGAAAACTAAAGAAAACGGGAAAATGTAGGGGTATGAACTCACCTTGAGTGATTTCTTGAAGAATGAAAGGTCGAAGACGAAAAGTATCAAGTCAAGAACACTTGATGAACACGTGAAAGCTTGGATGATCCTAAGAACGACTTTTGGTGTTAAATGTGTGTAGATGATTCAAGGATGTTAGGGAAAAAATGGAATGACACCTGAGTTTAGATGAAATACTTACCAAAAAGTGAAGTAGTAGCTCAAGAACACTAGCACAAAGTGGTGGGAAGTAGAGAGAAAAGAAGCTTTCTTGAGGTGGTTTGAGAAGTGTAAGTGTTTGAAATGATCAAGTAAGCCAAGAAATCCTCCAGGGATTTCTATATATATTGAAGGTTGCTGGAGCAACTTGTAAGTTTGAAGTGATGTTTGCCTTGGTTTGTGTGATGTGGATAAGGTTGGCTAATGAGAGGATGACACATGGAGGCAAGTGGGCACACTTGACCCACTTGTGGGGTAGAATGCTCCCCTTATTATAAAATAATGATTTTTAATTAATAATCCTTGAAAAATAAATAA